ATATATATATATATATATATATATATATATATATATATATAACAAGTCATGATAAGTATTTAAGGATATAAATATGAAATATCTAACAGAAATATTTTAAAAGGGTTATTCAATTATTTCTTCGTTCTTTTAAGTTGAATTTTAAATATGATTTTTTATATAATGGATAATTTGATCTTCACGAATAGTTAAATACTTCAATTTCTATTGTACTATTTAAAAATATTAACTTAATACAACTATATTTCATGAGTACTTTATCGTTGAATGATACATTTTTAAAATTAGAATTTATCTTTGAATCAAAAGATATTTAAAGATGACTATCGAGCTAGCAAATGTGAGATGAGGTGAGTTTAAAGCTATGTGAGGCCAAACACGTTTAACGTTATGTCATGTACATTTTTAAGATTCAAACTTATTTTTGAATCAAAAGATGTTTAGGAATGATAATAGAACGGATACATATGAAACGGACGAATTTAAAGTTATGTGGTGCAAAATAAATTTAAGGTTATATAAAACGAAAAAAAGGCAAACGAGTCGAAATGAGTTTTTCTTAAAATTATACGAACCGAGACGAATTATGGGTATATGTGATTTTATGTCTGATCAAATATTATGTTTAGTTGCCAAAAAAACTAAAGAAAATAAGTTGAGAAATTGTTAAAATGTTCTTCTTCCCCAAACTGAAGAAGTGAGAAAAACCCTTAAATCCCACCTTTCTGCCATTGCTGCAACTTCAAGAATCACCACTAACCTCAGCAATGGCACAAACAAATTTTCACCCTTCACACAATCAATCACTCAACCAAATACTTCGCAGTTTCAAACAAGTTACGATCGATTACATCAATCCTCTGTATCCGTTTAGATATATTAAGACTCATTCCATTAAAAAGATTCCTCTTTTCCGAATGCCCATATCGGAAAAATCATGTATTTACTTGAATTTCACTTCAAAACCCAAATGGGTATTCACGTATTCTAACATTCCATCTCCAGAATGGGTGAATTTTCCTCTTTTTCGAGTTCCCAAATTCAAAAAACCGTATTTTTATGTAAATTTCACTTCAAAACCCAAATGGGTATTCACTGGTTCTAACCTTCCACCTCCAGAATGGGTGCAGCCATTCGTTGATCTTTCTGACTTAGTTACAGACCGAAAAGATCTCAAACCGTCGCCATGGGTGTCTCAAATTTTGAATCTTTTAGATAATTCACCATTGATGGAGCAGAATTTAGATGTTTATTGTTGCAAATTTCTCATTAAATTATCGCCTAGTTTTGTTGCATATGTATTGAAGTCAGATTACCTTACAGGTAAACCCGATATCGCGTTTCGTTTCTTTTATTGGGCTGGTAAGCAAAAAGGGTATGCTCATAATTGTGAATGCTATGTGTTTTTAGTTAAGATTTTATCTGCTTCATGTGAATTGGATAGGATTAAGCATGTGTTTAGTGAATTTAAGCATAAAGGTTTCTTGATGAATGTGGCAGCTGTTAATTCTTTGATTAGGAGTTTTGGAGAACTTGGGATGGTTGAAGAATTATTATTTGTGTGGCGACAAATGAAAGAAAATGGTATTGAGCCTAGTTTATATACGTATAACTTTTTGATGAATGGACTGGTGAATTCTATGTTTGTTGAATCTGCCGAACGCGTTTTTGAGGTTATGGAAAGCGGGAAAGTTAATCCGGATATTGTTACGTATAATACTATTATTAAGGGGTACTGCAGATCTGGGAAGCTTCAAAAAGCAATGGAGAAATTTAGAGATATGGAGGTTAGGAAAGTAGAGCCTGACAAGATTACCTACATGACTGTGATGCAAGCATGTTACGCGGATGGAGATTTTGATTATTGTTTGGGACTCTATCACGAAATGGAGGAAAAGGACTTGGATATTCCACCACACGCTTATACGTTAGTGATTGGAGGGCTTTGTAAAATGGGGAAGGTTTTGGAAGGGTTTACTGTTTTTGAAAATATGATCAAGAAAGGTTTTAGACCTAATCTGTCAATTTATACTGCTCTAATTGATTCATACATGAAACATGGAAACTTGGATGAGGCTATGAGACTTTTTGATAGAATGAAGAATGAAGGATTTGAACCGGATGAGGTAACGTTTGGGGTTATTGTAAATGGCTTATGCAAGAGTGAGAGGTTGGATGAGGCCATGCTGTGGCTTGAGTACTGTAAAAATAACGATGTAGCTATCAATGCCATGTTTTATTCAAGTCTTATTGATGGTCTAGGAAAGGCAGGGAGAGTTGATGAGGCCAGAGAACTCTTTGAGGAGATGGCTGAGAAGGGATGTACACGTGATTCTTATTGTTATAATGCACTTATCGATGCCTTGGCCAAAAATGGGAAAATTGATGAAGCTTTGGTGCTTTTTAAGAGAATGGAAGATGAAGGTTGTGATCAAACAGTTTATACATACACAATATTGATCAGCGGCATGTTTAAAGAACATCAAAATGAAGAAGCACTTAAATTGTGGCATATGATGATTGATAAGGGTATAACTCCAAATGCTGCTTCTTTTCGAGCCCTTTCAACTGGGCTTTGTCTTTCTGGCAAGGTGGCTAGAGCATGTAAAATATTGGATGAGCTGGCACCAATGGGTGTTATCCTGGAGACAGCTTTTGAAGATATGATAAATGTTCTATGCAAGGCAGGTCGTTTAAAAGAGGCTTGCAAATTAGCTGATGGGATTGTGGATAGAGGTCGAGAAATTCCTGGAAAAGTTCGTACTGTTTTAATTAATGCATTGAGGAAGACAGGGAATGCTGATATGGCAGTGAAGTTGATGCATAGTAAGATTGGCATTGGATATGATAGGATGGGTAGCATTAAAAGGAGAGTAAAGTTTCGAGTTTTGGTTGAAAGCTGAGGCATTGGATAAAGGGTAGCATTAAAAGGAGAGTAAAGTTTCGAGCTCTGGTTGAAAAGTGAGGTGAAAACTGGATGTTAGGGTTACTATTGGGACATTCAAGTTTGCTATTATGCTGTCATGTGTGGTTATTAGTGAAATATTCTGAGGCAAAACAGACAAAGATGTGACTGGAGAAGCAATGAACATGTCATTTGACAAAGCTATGCATATCTGCCACTTTATGGAGTTCTAACAAGCAAAGCAAGAGGTAAAGTTGATTGAAAATTTTGTCAATGGAGTGTCTGACAATTCATGTTGCTTGCGTTAGATCTGCCTTCTTTTGTTGAAACTGGAAGTAGTGTAGGGTAGCGTCACAGTCAACTCACAAATTCTGAAGTGCAATCTTTTCCGTAATTCTGGTTAAGCCTGAGAGATATTTGAAGACGCCGACCACCTCTGTTGATTTTAAATACTTCATCAAACTCTGTGACACCTAAAATTGATGGATGGGATTATATTAGTTACCATCTTTCAAAGATTCTTCTCATAAGGTTTATGCCTCCACCTTATGCTTTCTATCAGTTGATTCAGCAGTTCTTGCAATTCATTCAAATATGGTACTCCCAGACAACTTATCTCATACTTGTTGTAAAAGAGGTACTATCACAATTCCAGGCTGCAGTTGCTGAAGTATAAGCAGCTGGTAGAATGCTTATGTTTCTTTGTGGAGGTGACAAGTCATCATACGATAAGTGTACCTTAATCTTAAACCATGTATTGGAACTTAAGGACATCCTACCTTGCCAGATACTTCACAGAAGCTGAAATTCAAACGCTTCTGGCTGTTGGCTTTTTTGGTGTAATATATATTATGTAAAGGATGAACAATCTTAAAAACTTTAGGACTTCCTACCTTGCCAGATACTACACAGATGCTGAAATTCAAATGTTTTTAGCTGTTGGTGTAATATGTATAATACAAAAGATGAACGTAGCATGCTAAATTTCATAGGATCTTTACAAGAATGGGTTTTTGTAGAGCAGGATTCCTTCTGTTTTTGTTTTTTTGTAATGAAGGATCTCTAACCAGTGTACTGCCTTTCACTATCATGGTTTTAGGCTGCTCTATTTATATTTTTGTCTACCTATTCAATTTTGAGCATAATTCCTTCGTTTTCATTTTTTCACTTATCAATTTTGAGGGCAAGGACAAAAGTCTAAGTTCACTTCTCCAATAGGGGTCTCAGAAACAATGTATTTTTTTTTTGATAACTCAGCAAGAATATTACTAATTTCAAAAACCAGCTATAAGATATGATGAGAGTATGCAAAAGCTGACTCAGTCAGGTTTTCCCAATTAATCCTGTAGTGAGGTCGGAAATCTCACTGGGTATCCACTTCATTCACATTTTGAAGATTACATCAGATAGTGACTGCATACAAGCACTTGAATTCAAGGTATGTACAGAGTCAGCTTTGTCTTCTAAACATCTGCGGTTTCTTTCCTCTTTACAACTAATGATTGATAACTACATCAGTGTGGCTTCAACATATATGATTTCTTATCATTTGGAATTGTCCCATTAAGTATCCTCCATATTTTCTTTCTCTACATTTTGTTTTACACAATTATAGTAATATAGTGTCTGGCTTTGATTCTCTCTAATGCTGATTCACTTGTTCTTCAGCACTCGCAGCTCAACACTTCGTTATATTTATTTTTTGACAAGGGCAGTGTCCTTGTCAGCTTACACACACTTGAAGTATTTCACCGTTCTTTCCAACTAAAATTGAAAGGATTGTATTACATGGAGATGTCGATTTGTTTTTCACAGTATACCTGCTGGTAAAGCTTGGGTAGATGTGAAGAATTTACCTATATTTTTTTTTTGCTTCTGGTGCAATTTGAACACTAATTTATTGACTGCTAGGCCACACCCTTGGAATTAGTTTCAACACTCATTTTGATTAATGGCTCCATTTGATAATATGCAGGCAATTGATTTTATAGTCTTTATGCTTCTTAGCGACATCAATTGTGTAATTAGTTGCACTTTGACACTCATGTCTTAGTTGCTATATTTTTTCTTCCTTCGCCAAACCATGCTTTTGTTTATCGAAATCTTGCTTATATGTTAGAAGCTATTTATCTAAATGTCTCAACTCCAATCAGGATATAGCCTTTTGGGGAATAGGTACTTGCAGTTGCTGTAAATTTATTTATCACTTATTGCTGGGCCCAGGAAGATGTCCGCATACACGGATGACCAAGAATTTACTTCTTTACAGATTCTCGCATGCAAGAAGAAATATTTGATATGGGGATAGGGAAGTGGGAGCTGAAAGTCTAAAACCCAGCAGCAGATGTAACTAATATTTTCAGCAGGCATTTCCTGTACAACAAGTAAAGACACATTGTTGTTTGGAACTTGGAGTGGACCCTTGGTGCACCTATGAAGACTGGAGCAACGTGACCAACCTGTTTGTTTCCAAGTCATTTCTGAGGTAAAATGTTCTTGAGATCTTTTATCTAAAATGACTAATTAAATTTATTGGCACATATGAGAACATTACGAGGGATAGTCGTACAGAAGTAGCAGCAGGACATTGAGACTTAAAATAATGCCTACATGTTGTCCATTTTCCACTGCTGTACATTTGTTTCTGTACATTGGTTGAGTGGCAAAGAGAATTTTGCACTGTGCTCTGTCATCTTTGTTTTCTAACGTCTAACATCACTCGAAGGAGCTGCTTTTCAGTTAAAAACATCCACAACTGCAGTCACTGTAATAGGACCAATTTGCATGTTCTACCATCTGTGACATTTGTAGAAATATACCTCTATTGCTTATCCATTCCAGTGTTGTCAAAGTCGTGTTTAAGCCTTGAAACGAGGCTCAAAATGTGTAGATCGGTTTGCCTTGTTTAATGTGCGCTTTAGTGTGGTCATCAAGGTTCTAAGGCATATTTTTTCTAGCCAACTCTTCTCTTCCGGAGAGACGACATAAAAAATTAATATTTTACTTTATTGTAATTTCTTTTCAATTTCTTTGTTCATATATTTGTCATTTATGTTTATAATTATTATTCTTGGAATATATATATATATATATATATATATATATATATATATATATATATATATATATA